TTGAAATTGAAGTCATTTGGTATCTTCCCTGCTCTGTTGTCTCTGTTTAAATCTTATCTTAGCAATAGGTACCAATTTGTGCAGTATCGTGCCTTTAGATCATGTAAATTTCATCAATCTTCGGGAGTTCCGCAAGGGTCAACCCTGGGGCCACTGATGTTTATTATTTTTATTAATAATTTAACTGAATGCCCCGATGTCAACTATTTACTCTATGCGGACGACCTTGTTCTTGGAAGTTAAATCTTCTACTGATTGTACTAAACCAAGATATTCTTGACAGATTACACAGTTGGTGTTCGTATAATAATTTACCTCTGAATGTAAACAAATGTAAAATTATGTCTTACAGTCGACGCAGAACTAATCTAGATTTTGATTATAAAATTGGAGAAACTTTTTTAAATATAGTTACGCAATTTACAGACTTTGGATACCAGATTATCGTTTCAGGACTTTCAGAATGTAAAGGTTGTAAATATATTGTATGCAGCATTTGTGTGTTGCAAACTTGAATATGCATCGGTTGTTTGGAGTCCCATTTATAATGTTTATAATATTCAATTAGAGAAAGTACAACGGAGATTTTTAAAGACTATTAATTTTATTAGTTATGGATTTTATCTTCCTTGTGGTACACTTCAAGAAGTATTGCTTTCTTGTTTTAATTTTAATAGTCTCTGTCGTAGGAGAATTATATTTTCAGTTAGTTATATTCCTTTTAAAAATATAAATAACATTTTAAATGCAGACTTGTTAGTTTCAAGGATTTTATATCATGTTCCTAGACTTAATTCTAGATTTCACTCTGTTTTACAATTATTCACACCTCGTACCAATTTACTAATAACATCTCCCCTATATCAAATGATTTCCAATTATCGAAAGTATGACAAAGTAATAACATCAACAAATTGTTTGTCTAGCAAATGTAATCCTTATTTTATATGTTAGTTTATTTGTTTTATTTGTCTGTTATTGTTTATACTTAAGTTCTTTTGTCTGGATTTTATATTTTGATTGCTCTATATTTGTGTAGTACATATATAAAATTGTTGAAATACAAGGATTCCTTTAATTTTTTACAGCGAAAGATCACGGAAGACATTGACAACCATTTGCTAATACAGTAAAAAGAAAGTTAATTTTGTTAAATGATGACGGATGCGTTTCAAACAATTCCTTTAATTTTTACAAGCTTTTATTTAACTTCACATGTATGTTTGTATGTATGTATGTTTAGTTCAAATATTGCAAGGCTTTGAATCACTTCCTCTAAAGTTACGACTTCGAAATTTTGTATGCTTGTTCAGTTCTGAGGACAATACACTAAATAGAAATAACCTAATGCCAGGATTGCGTAATTTCCATAACTTACTCCTTAAAATAAAAATTCCAATTAGGAATAAACCTCGCGATAAACTTTTGAATCACATTAGGTCATGAACATACTGATTATTATAGATAGTACGTAGTTATCAAACTTTTGCTGAAGACACTTCTATAGAGCAGTCATATTCAACCTTTTTGTGGGTTTGGGGTTCACAGAACATTAAGGGTTTTTGAATTCCTTGGTTTTTAGTACATTTTAATAAAAGCTTGTTTTTAAAATATGTTTTTTTTACTTTTCCTTTATTAGTTGTTGTAATGATTATTGTTTGTTAAATACTTCTAGTTAGGCAAATTTAAATTTATAAAATCAACCCTTTAATTGATCCTTTTATATTAATTTATTAAGAAAAATGTCTCTTCAATGTGAAGAAATGCACAATCAAATAAAAAGTGTTATATTCCACTGTAAAATAGTGCCTTATTTAAAATACTTTCATTAACTAATCATATGTGTGGGGCATCATACATCTCTCGTGGAATATACGATCCTGGTCATCAGCTCCATTGTTCTTTCAAACTTCTGTCGGACGTCTATTGTGCGGGCGTCGCATTCAGACTCGACAATAACCATGTTGTATTCAGTGCATTGTCAGACAAACGGGTGCACCATCCCCTGCCTCTTCCAAATTATACTTCCCGTAGGTTTATACTCTCCTAGGATGCCTTTCCCTAGTGCCCTGGTTTCAATACACCCACGCCCGTTTTGGGCAGTACGGATTGCTCAGAAATACTTTAAAGATTTAAAAATCCATAGAAGTTTAGAGCCATAGTACAGATTTGTTCATGTCATTAACGTTAAGATGTAGATATTAATGTTAATAAAATGCGTAAATAAAATTTTATTATTATTTTTTCAATATGTAAATATAAATTATAAGTAAATTAATGTACCTTACAACTCGGCTTATAAATACTTATTATACAGGATGATTCACAAATGGTGACCTAAAATGGAAACCCCGTATTCTTTGGTGAATTTTAAGGAGAGTCTTTCCTATAAAGTTTTTATCCAGGACGCTTCGTTAAGAAGATACAGGGTGTTAAAATTCAAATAATATTTTTTATTTTTTTAAATAATTTAAAAACTAGTAAGTGAAATAATTTGAAATTGGGCACATGTATTTATGTAAGCATTGTCCAAAATCTGAGGGCTTTTCATAAAATTTACATGCTCCAGGGGCGGAGATACAGGGTCTCGGTAGCATATTTTTCTAAATAAAATAGTACGTCACTGCTTTACAGCAACAACCATGATATTTTCGGATTCGTCTTTCAATTTTCTACAAATTACCACTGTCTTATGTTTGTTGAAAAAAGTCTGATTTTCGAGTAAAACTTAAAAAACGAACTGAGAACACTTTGACTTAAATGACAATAAATGATTTAATTTTAGTTTAAATTTATTGCCGTTGTTGCAAAATAGCAATAATTGATAAAAAAACGCAAAAAAATCAAGTTTTTTTTTATAATTTTTTAAAAATGATTTAATTGCTCCGAAGGCATTCTAATTTTGGTAAAAAAAACTTTATGTTATAATAAAACAACACACCAAATTTCATTAAAATCGGTTCGAGAGTTTTCGCAAAATAATTGTTAGAAGAAAATTAAAAAAAAAATGGTCGAATTTTCAAAATTTTGCACAGCCTCAAATAAAGCATCGAGATACTTGAAAATTTTTTCACATAGAAAAGACCGCTCAACCTTTCAAATGGTTTTTGAAAAATTGAAATCGGGTGATTAGGACGGCGACAGTTAATTTTTAAGTTAACACTCTTTTTTTATTTTTAAATAATTAAATTGCATTTATCAATTTACAATTTAGTTTTTTTTCAAAAATTATAATTTTAAAGTTTTCGGAAAGACGCTTCTTTACAAAAAAAAAAAGTTAAATTCCGTTTATTGGTTCTTGAGATATAAGCGGTCAAAGTTTATCGGCATTTACCGTTAAATAAACAATTTAGCAATAATCTTTGATCCAGTAGCTTCGTTTTTCCGAGTTTAAGTTGGAAAAAATTTTCATATTCATAAGTTATTGGCAACATAAATAAATCAGCAGAAAAACTGTCGCACGCCCCAAAAAATGACTCAAAACACGAAAAATAAGGGGAGGGAGGCTTTCCGAGTACTTTAAAATAATAATTTTTGAAAAAAACTAGATAGTAAATTGATAAATGTAATCTTATTGTTTAAAAATAAAAAAGGAGTGTTAATTTTAAAAATATTTACTGTGGCCGACCTAATCAACCAATTTCAATTGTTCAAAAACCATCTGAAAGGTTGACTGGTCTTTTCTATGTGACAAAATTTTCAGGTATCTAGATGCTTTATTTGAGGCTGTGCAAAATGTTGAAAATTCGATTTTCAAAAAATTATTTTGAAATTTGGTGTGTTGTTTTATTATACTATAAAGTTTTTTATCAAAATTAGAATGCCCTCCTTGTCTATCGCACGAATTTCTTTAATTTGTCGCTCTCATGTAAAGGCAGATGGACCATGTGGATTTTCCAGCCCTGTATATGTATATCTGCATATCTAGAGATTAGAATCAGGAAGTCTACTTTTCCTATACCACCCTTAATTTACATACTATTTAACCCTTATACTACCCTAATACCGTAATATACTTCAATTATTCACATTTTTCTTATATCTTTGTTACTGAATGATGATTACATTCTTACTTGACAGATTAACATTTTCTTTAGAATTTTTCAAAAGGGATAAATTTGTTAATTTGTTACACACTTTCTCAAAAAAAATACATTGATTGAATGACCAATTTATATACTAGAAGGTAAGAAGATACACATAAACATACTATAGGTACTGAGAAAGAAAATTGAGAAATCTATATTTTTCTCTTAAATTAATGCCAATAAAATTAATGTACTTGTGATTAAATCTGAAGGACATTCCCTTACCTCCACTCCAAGTCTGATCTCCTATTGCTTGTGCTCTAATTTACAGGCTCCCCTACTCGTTGTAACCCTTTCAATGATCACTGGTCTGTGCAACATGGTGCAACACAACCTGTGACTGCCATGTTATTTCCTTACTAATTGTGATCTGTTTAAATGGCACGCAGGCATTTTTATGACCTCTTTCATTTTCTAAACACCTGTACCGATTTGTGAATTGAGACAGCAGGGGGTGAGTAACCCTCTAAAACTCCTGGTCTCTTAATAGGATTGGTCTATCTCCTCTACTCCTTTAAAACCATTTTGAAACTCTATTTGAGTTATAAATAATTATGTAAATATTAATGAAATAATTGCACTAATTTTTAATTCATCATTTTTCCGCTAACATTTTGGGTATTAGGATGAACTTATATTATTATTGCCCAGAAGAGGAAGGCCAAATTCTAAAATGTCTAAATTTCAGTTGTTGTCAATAATAAGTAATTATTACAAAAATAATGCGAGGAAAAGTTATTAAATAATTGAAGACCCATGTCTTCGTGGGGAAAATTACACTCTTGCTTCACAACTCACACACTGAACAAAAACCGTGACAAAAAATAAAACATAAACAATTGCTTTGGGCGCTTTTATGGCAATTTCTGGTATTTTCTCCCTCGTAATTGAATTTAAATTCGTTTGTTACAGGTATTTCACTAGTACTGTCTTCTACTGAACAAGAAAAAAAGCAAAATGGAACCCTGAGGAAAGCCTGTTTTGAATTGGGACACGCCAGACAACCAGAACGACGAGTGAATACAACACTAAGATTAGCGAAATTGAGAGAAGTGTTGAGAAGTAGTATAACATTAAAAGAGTTACCAATTGACGCTTATATTGTTACATCTACCGATGAACATCAGGTACTTTGCATTTAAAAACAATAAATTCATTGGAAAGGCTTATCCAAAAGCAAGGCTAATTGAGCCATGTTTGGAATAGGTTTTTAACTCGTCAATCATAAGAGTGGCAAGCTATTAAATTAATTAACTTACAGAACACGGAAATCGAACCGTTCGAAAAACGTCGCCAGTACATCTCGGGATTCAGCGGCAGCTATGGAGACGCTGTGGTGACTCAAAAGCAGGCAGCGTTATGGACCGACGGCCGGTACCATCTTCAGGCGGACGAGCAGCTCGACTGCAACTGGTTGTTTTTCAGGGAAGGGCACAGGAACATTCCAAAAATGTCGCAGTGGCTGAAGAAAAACATTCCCAAGAATGGTCGGATAGGTTTGAACCCCAAGCTTGTATCGGAACATATATGGAGCAAGCTCGAGTCGGAACTGCAGAGTTCATCCCTGTACCTTGTGGAATTGAAAGTTGATCCCATAGATAAGATTTGGCCTCCGAACGAGAGGGAGCCTAGACAAACCAAGAGTTCGTTTGTTGTTGGCATACAATACACAGGTAGTTTTTATAAACCGTGCAAAAAATAAGTATATTTATGGCAAGCGCCAGGGTGTTTGTCCTTTGAAGCTAGTAGTTGTTTTCCGCCCTAAAATATATTTACTTCTTGCTGTTTAAACAAATTTGTTATGAAAGACGTATACAAAACATGCAAATTCCAAAAGACAATAGTAACAAATTCTAACAAAAAAAATTAACGAACGTTATAAGAAAGATTTTATAGAAAAATAAAATAAATATTAAAATAAACTCTCAAACAATTTACTCACCTCTTCATTGGTAAAACATAAATGTCAGACAAATAATACTCTCACTTAAAATTGAAAAAACAAGGAAAACTTTGTAACTGTCACATTATATCTTTCACTTCTTCCCATTGTGTTTTGCTCGAAATAAAAAATGACGTACTGTATAGACAAGGACAGAAAACGGGTATCTCTTCTAGGTCTGAGATAGAATCATGGTAAAATTAGGAATCTTCATTAGAAAGCTGCAATTCTGTAGCTGTCGTAGCATGCGAACAGATAGCAGTACTAGGAATGGTAAAGTGTAAATTAAATAATTAAACACTAAAGCCCGGTACTTTGAGTCTCGATTAAGACTTAATTAACTAATCAGGTGATTAGACTGTGAATATATTATTATAAAATAAATCAGTATATGTACAGTCTAATGATCTGATTACTTAATCCAAGGCTTAACCGAGACTCAAAGTACCGGGCCTAGATTTAATAGAAACAAGATGCCAACACAAATACCCCACTACTGAGGAATTGTAACTGAAATAATAATTGTGTGTTACTATAAAAACATTGTTCTAATGCTTCAACATCTACTTTTACATCTTCATATACTGTGTACATCTTGTTAACAAAATAAAAAATAGTTAAGTGATGAATTAAGTTTTACATATTTTGAAGAAATTTTAAAAAAATGATAAAGAATGGGAAACGATCTACAGTTTCTTTTCCTTGATACTTGAGACAAAAGTAGCCGTTGGCCAACGTGACGTTGACATATTTAGTAGGGACTAAAATATGTAAAACTCATCTAAGCTCATCACAGTAAAATGCCTTATCGATGTCAAAAAATTTCTTTTGAGATTTTGTCATTCAAAATAATGGGATTTTGCTTATGCCATATTATATGTAGGCGCCTTTCTTTCAAGAGATAGGGCGTAAAAAATCCAATTTAAAAAACATTTTTATTAATAACAGTAGTTTTCTAAGAAATTTAACACATAATTCCAAATATTTCGAATTTTTCCAACCAAGAACGGTGGTACAACATTTTTAACATTAAGGCGATGTTTCGCATTGTATTAGCTATGTCCTGTCCAAATTTTGTTCATGCAACTCTCTTGGTTTCGACAATGCAATACTGTTTTCCACCAAGAAAATTGAATAATTCCAAATATTTCGAATTTTCACCACCAAGAACGGCGGTGGCAACATTTTTAACATTAAGGCGATGTTTCGCATCGTGTATTAGCTATGTCCTGTACAAATTTAGTTTCGTGCAACTCTCTCGGTTTCAAAAATACAATACCTATGTATGTATTCAGCCACGAAATTTGAATAATTCCAAATATTTCGAATTTTCACCACCAAGAACGGCGGTGACAACATTTTTAACATTAATCGCATTACAACATGCGATCGCAACAGCGATCGCATTATCTCGAGCGCAGACGTAACAGTTTGTCATCGTTCATTGTAAACGAATCATTAATATTGGTGACACCAAGATTTAGGGATTTTTCATTACCAGTACCAATTGTGCAATTTTGGGTTACCTAAACTCAGCGGTCACGTGACTTGTAAACATTTATGAAGTCTCCGTTTAAAAAAATCGGAACAGGAGAGAAAGTGTATCCATTCCCCTCCCCCACTTTTTCCAGTACACGTCTGTGGTGCAAAGGTATTATAGTCATTTCTCTAATTATTATTTTCACCCTTATAAAATTTTAATTTCGGGTTTGATTTTCAAGATGTTTTTGAATATGCGGTTTGAAATATCGAACTTGCAAGAATTTCGTTAAAATTCTTGTATTTTACTTAATATAACTTATAGTTAGATTAATTTAAAATGAGATTTTAAGTTGCATCATTTTCACAATTATCAAATGAAAACAACATATTTTGTGCTAAAGATAAATAAATAAAACAATGTTACAAAATTTTAATTGCAGATCTAATTTAACTGTGAAACGTTAGCCCGAAACATTTCAATCAACAGCGTTATAGGATATTTTTTATCAAGCTTAGCTCGCCCCTTAAGAACTGAAAAAAATTGAATGAGTCGATATCACACGTTCAAGTAAACCGCAGTCTTAAATTAAATCTGTACAATAGTGAAAAAGTGCAAGAAAACAACGCTTATTGTTAGTGCTAAACACAATACATTTGAATCATAAGCGTATGCGGAAAATTATGAAGGATAATGGGTATTATTACGCCTCTTTCCTCTATTTTCGCTTCGATTTTTGTTATCAAAATTACGCAAAAAATGCGCTGGCATATGACAAAGTTAGTGTAAAGTTTCAATTTAGTATCTTAAAAGATAAAAGGGTTATTAATACAAATATTTTTATTTATTTTAATTTATCATCCTACATCTTGAAAGAGGCGCATATATAAAAAAAAATAAAGGCAAGTCTTAAAATTTCCATTTCCACTGCCCCTGTGTTTATATATTAGTTATGCTACTCCAACACAATTTTTTTCTACGACGAATAGTGATAATTCTAAAATATCTTGAAATTTTTTAGGAAAAAACTACACGACAAAGATCAACGAAACAAGAAGAGAAATAAAAAGACTTGGAGCTGATGCGATGGTCATAACAGCATTAGACGAAATAGCTTGGTTACTGAACGTTAGAGGAAGAGATGTGCCTTTTTCGCCTTTTATCAGGTGCTACGTTATCCTTGACATGCATAACATATTTATGTACGTCGATATCAGTAAACTTAGTAAAGAAACTATAGAGTATCTCCGTGCTGGAACCAACATCCTCGGAAAGGATTCTGTTACGTAAGTTGTAAAGAAATGATACAAGTTTACCTTTCCAACTCTCTGCTACTTTCTGGATTGTTTATATTTGTCAAACATTTTTTTTCTAGTTTACTTGAATATGAAGCTTTCTGGAATGATTCAAGAACCAGATACCAATTATATCACAAGATTCTAGTCCCTTCCCATTGCGTTTACAGTGACGGGGCTAGCCACGAAGTTTACAAACATATTTCCCGGGAAAAGAGGCTACCGAGGCAATCTCCAATCATCCATCTTAAAGCAGTGAAGAATTCGGTAGAAATTAATGCTATGAGGGAGGCTAACATTTTGGATGCAACTGCTGTTTGTGACTGTTTGGCGTACATAGAGAACAAGGTTAGTATCGAGTTTTATGTGTAACTAAATGACAAAGTGAAATTTGCAAACAAACCTCTTAAAATGTAAATTTTGACTATTAATTAAAGCTTTATGTTCTGCTGTAAATATTCTAGGAAAGTGTTTAGGGACTAAAAGTCCTATAAAAGAATGTATGAAAACGTTTTATTTTTAAAAACAGTATATTGAAATTTGATGTGGACAATGAAAATTGACAATTTAACATACTTGTATACCAGTGGCAGAAATAACGAAACTGTCCAAGATTTCCAGAAAATCGACGGCACTGGGTATATTTGAAATTTCGATATTCGCTTAAACTTTTCATTGAATTTTGACTTAATTTTTTTTAAACTTATATCACATTAGATATTACCTAACAAATATCTCAATACATCTAATAAAAATGTAAAAAATATGTAACAGAATGCCACATCTAGTAGTCACTGTTACTAACTGCCTAAGACCTATAAAGATACCCTAAACTGGCAGAAAGCGACCTGTATTGCAACTTAAGGAGGTATATCGGCGTATCGTATTAGCTATGTCCTGTACAAATTAAATTTCGTGCAACTCTCTCGGTTTCAAAAATACAATACCTATGTATGTATTCAGCCACGAAATTTGAATAATTCCAAATATTTCGAATTTTCACCACCAAGAACGGCGGTGACAACATTTTTAAAA